TCAAAAAGTTAATGGAATTAGTATCGAACATCTACATATCGATATTCCGTTTTCTTTCTGTAAATATTCTGAAAATTATAAAAAAAAGAACATTGACAATTACATTAATATGGTTCCATTTCATACAGCTAATAAAAGCTTATCATTTTATCCCCACTCTATCAATTTTCGTATATCGAAGTTACGCTCAAAGTTAGATATTGTTCAATTAATAGCGAACATCACTAAAATACATAGCATGTCGTGTCATGTTCATGGAACATAACAATCATATGTTTTCCAAGATTAATTTTGAGAGCGAAGCAAAGAAAAAACTGTGTTTACTGCGATTTTTGAGTGTGCTATCCAGTATTTTTTCTTTTTTAATAATTGTATATTAGCAATTGCAACGGCTATATGTCGCCTCCAAATCTCTGCTGCAGCTGTAGCTGCTGCTATATTCTTTTACATACGTGTTCTCATTCTTGTAATCCATTTTTACTAAAATGAAGTTAAAAGCTAACGAAAATAAATGAGTGTATTCGTTAACTTAAAGCTAGCGAAGATACGCTCCATGAAAAGCAGGAGGAGCGAATAGTTTTTGAACGCTGCTTTGATTGTGGCGAAGTGGGGGTAAAAAGTTAATTTTCCTTCGCTGCATGAAATTGCACCTTTACTTTCTTTATTCTTTTAAATTTAATCCTCTGACTGTGTTGTAACATGTATCTATTAAGGTATTCTATACCTTGATTATGACTATCTGAGTCTCGACGAATAAAGACGCGTGAATGTGTAACGAATTGCTTTGTTCAGTTCTCTTAGTGCGTAAAAACTGTTTGACATGTGTATTAATTTTCGTAAAGCTGATTTTTACAACGCAAATGCATATGAATGAAACGCATTCGTGTTACATATGCAGCATACATATATACTATATACTTCTATAGTAAAGATATTTCAGAAAATATGCGCACTCATGGAGATAAACCCTTGCATCCACAATTGTGTAGTTTGCAGCAATCGACGAAGTTACACATATTGTATAAACATAAAATAGGATATAAAATAGCATAAAGAAAACGATTAGAAATTGTATCTAAATTCTTCCGGCCGATGTTATTGCGTATTCAGTCGAATCGGAGTTACTTTCGCGCTACCTGTACATATGCAATGAGCAAGCATTCTGCTAGTATGCGCATTAACAAAAACAAATATCGCGCTGTATTACTAGATGTCTATTTCAATTATGTTTTACACATAATTCTATCGCTCGTTTTTCCTTTTCACAATGATAAAAATGTTTGTTTTAAAAAAGTTAAATATTACAATAGAAAGAAAGTTAAATTTTGCATATGCAAGACTTACTGAATTTCTTTTTTTTTAACATGCAAAGTTCAGAGTAAGAATGCCAATGTGTATAGAAAATATAGTTTATCTATAACAAATTGTAGTTTTACTTTAAATTTGTATTTCAAAAAAGATTTTTTACACTTCTGCGAAACCTTGTCAAATGTGAGACTCATAAATTTTGCAATATTTGGAATAATTCGTTTTTGCTGTCGGATACGTCTAAGGTTCAGAATCGGACATTTTTGGAATTACTTTGTTCCTATATATATAAAACAAAACGACAAAAAATCTCACAATATTACATTGTGTTTAAGATCAATTGATTCAATTACAAACATACAAATTATACGAATATAATTAGTGGAAAAATGAATATTATCGATCTAATAACTAGTAACGTTTAAAGTAGCATTGATACGATAATGAGGTTGCTTTCAGGAAAAGTATTTTTTTAAATACTAGCTCTTTACGTTCCTGATACTTTTCAATGTGTCAACAATAAGCAGCGATATTTGTGTTAATTATATAAAATAAAATAGGATATTTTTCGTTTGTTATGTATGTATAATATAAAAATACAGAATTTAATGATGTTTATATATCTACATGCTTTCTAGCATATAGTAGTCTGTAAATTTATTAGTAGAGTATTATGGGACATATTTATTCGTCAATAAAAAGAGAGATCTAATATAATGTGAGATACATAGACGCGTTGTTTTTCTCCAACACTTTTATTAGCATTTTATATCGGAAAAAACAGAAACGCGAAAAAATATAATTATATATTTCCATTTCTAGAGACTTCAATATATCTGCAGGCTTGCCAATTTTTTGTAACGGATAAAGATTCAATAAAAATGGAATAGAGATGTGATATAACAGTGCGAAGTATGAAGCATCCATTCGTTGAAGGGTGACGAAATTTAAGATAACAGGATAAATAATAGTCATTTAAAAAATGTTTCTAAATTTAAATTTATGAACGTAAATGATTATATTGTGTTTTTATGTATCTTAAATTCCGTACCTTTCACTATTAATTAGATACCGTGTACTCCGAATCGTTTTAAGTTTTTTTACATTTACATTCTTCCTTTTTTTTTATGCCCGTATTATATTTATTGCAAGACAGACAACCTCGCTAAGCGATTATTTAAGATCTATATACACGATTCAAATTCAGGCAAAAGTCTCCTACATAAAACTTATGTATAGCTCGCGTGCGATATATTACGAAGCTGTGTCCGGTTTAAAATAACTAGATAAATTAAATAACTAGATAAATTAATATCTCTCGATTTCTTATAATATGAAAAAATGTTTACAGTGTAAAACTTTCTCGTGCAAAATTGTATACATTGATTTACATTATATACATACACATATATATATATATATATATACATAACCGTAATAAAAAAATAGATTGTATGTTATGAATTATCGCTATACCTATAAACTCGCTACCATACTATTTTTATTTACTTTAAAACAAATAGGTCAATCGCTCGACCAATGTAGCGCTAATTTCAATATCTTGTATAATTACATAATATAATTTATATAATTTACGTGTTTATAACTTACTGTGCACTTATATGCTATATTATGCACATAACAATTTCCTTTTTATAATTTTTACACTCTAGACTGCACTAGAATATAGTCTATGATTTAAGATTTGTTTCTACCGAATGACATTTTTTTCAGAAATTTAATACTGAATATTGATTTCATCATAAAATGTATATTATAATATTTGGCGCTTTCAAGTCAACAAAGCAGAGCAATTAAACTTGATTAATTGAATCTCTGATAGGATTTAAGAACCAATCATGTTTACTTGCATGCTTTTAGCCGCTTTGAACTCGCCTATCTATTGATACCGACAAGTCGATTGTTGACTGATTTTATATTATACATCAAAAAATTTTTAGTCATTTACGTGATTCGATGAGTCATTTTTTACGGATTCGATCGGCTCTGCTATGATAATGTCAGATTGCTCCTCCTTGTGCAGAGCTATCATTATTTTTTGCTCAGTGGAAGACTGACTGTCAGATGAGCCTTCCTGCGTCGAAGTGGCAGCTTCCTGAAATTTAGTAAGTAACAATGCATCGCGTGCGATGCGTTTCGAATTTGTGGTACTTACCGTGCTTCGTATCTTCGTATGCGTTTTGATGTGTTTCGTTAGATGATCCGATCGCATAAATTTCTTTGTACATTCTGGACATTGAAAACGTTTTTCACCCGTATGGGTTCTACGATGCCTCTGAAGTTCATCAGATCTAGTAAACTTTTTACCGCAAAATATCCAAGTACAGATGAAAGGCCGTTCGCCAGTGTGCCAGCGTAAATGAGCACGTAGATGGCTCGTTTTTCCATATACTTTATTACATCCAGCAATGTGACATACATGTTGCCGTTTCCTGGTTATATCCCTATTTCTAAAGAGAAATATGGGGGTATATATCAATATACATGTGACTATTATTCGTGACACAAATATTTGATATGGTTGAAAAAAGTTATCGCTCACCTGTCGCCATCGCCGCAATTGGGACATGTACACGCGACTCTTCTACGGTGCTGCTTATTAGGATCATCATTGGTAGGGGTAGTGGCCGGGTTCGGTATTTGCTGTTGATGAGATACAGGTGTAGCGGACGTTGTCAAGGTCCCGTGTTGAAGAGTTTGGAGAATCTGCCATTTGGTAGGATCATTTGAATCGAGTTGTACGGTTGGTGTTGTCGCAACGATAGGTGTGGCCGTAGTGGTTTGAACAGTGGCCGGCAACGTTTGAACTGTAGCCGGCTGCAATGCGCTCGCCGGTATTACTTGCACATTGCCTAAGCCTGGGATATTTTGCACGGGTATCGATTGTAAGAAACCATTGGTCGTATTCATTCCGGCGGTTGGCTGAATTTGCATTATACTTCCATTGCTCACATTCCTCATCATGTTACCTTGTTGCGCGGTCAAATTTGCTAATGCAGACGCAGGAATAAGCGTTAACTGTTGTCCTTGCGTTCCTATATAAGGATTATTTGCAATATTAATTGTTTGCAAAATTAAAAATTATGAGGAAATGTATCAGAAAATGTATAAATTAAAAGTACGATAATCTTTCAATATCCTGGATGAAGACAAAATCTATTCTATAATACAACCAAACAGAGGAAGGATTTCTTGTACAAAATGAATTGAAAATGCAAAATAAACTTTTTTCTTGCTATGAGCAATTTCTCTCTTAATAAAATAAATAAAATTTAACTATTTGTCACATTTTCTTTAATCTTGCCATTCGTAAAGTCGTTATGTAAATATGATAACATTTTTTTAAATGTCTTTCGTTAAGTGTACACGTACTTCGTGATTTTCAAATTTGATTTTCTCGAAAATAAAACCTTGAACAAAAAAAAATTATTCTGTATTTTTGACTTATTTTTGTATAAGGAATCGTTTTCTTTCGTCTGTTTGTATTGTAAATTTATT